TGCCCTAAGAATCCTCTGTACTCTGCCTGCTCATTTCTCCTCTCCCCCTGCCCACCTCACCGAACCCCTGGCAACCACTGATCTTTTTACTGTCTCCATAGTTTTACCTTTTCCAGAATGTCATACAGTTGGAATCATACAGCATGTAACCTTTTTAGATTGGCTTCGTTCACACAGTAATATGCAGTTTGGGTTCCTCCATGCCTTTTCACAGCACGATAGCTCATTTGTTTTTACTACTGAATAATATTCCATTATCTGGAGGATGTGCCACAGTTTACTTATTCATTCACCTATTGAAGAATATCTTGGTTGTTTCCAAGTTTGGGCAATAATGAATAGAGCTGCTCTAAACATTCACGTGCAGGTTTTGTGTAGATGAGAACATTCTGTTTTCTCCCCAATAAGTTCAATTAACAGTAGACTCTGAAAGATCTTAATGGTAAATTTCATTTAAACTAAAAATAAACCTAATAAGTAAGTTTATATATAATATAAATAAAAGAGGCAAGTTTTCAAATGGTTGATTTCGTTTGTCCTGTCACCTGTAATGAAGACTGACACTAAGATGATTCCATGACTGGCCTTCATCAAGTGTTTTCCAATTATGAGTTAATAGGTTCACGGTGTTTTTGTCCATTAGCTATGGGAGTGAAATCATAAATATAATCCTTCACTAAGTGAAGAAGCCTCTAATCACTGAGCCCAGAGTTCTGGTCAAGAGGAAGCTCCTCTTCAAAATAAAGACACTAACATTTCTTGAGTGTCTACTCTTCCTAGACAACGTCCAAGTGATAACCACAGAAATAATAATAACCCTGTGTATGTGCTCTGTGCTAGATTATCTTACATGTACTTTGCACATATAGAGTATTTAATCCTCACATAATATAATAATAAAGCAGATAATACTCATGGGAGCCGATGCTTATTCTCCTGCTTCCATGGACAGGAACTTCCCTGAGATAACACTGCTATTACTGGCCCCTCACTCTTACCAGTGAGAGAAGGAGAATGTAACTGACTGGTGATGTCAGAGAATAAACTGGGCGTGCTCAGTGAATACTCTTTGTCTCTCACACGACCTCCATCGTTTGTGAGCCAGCCTGTTTTCAGGAGGCATGTTCGCTGATATCACCCTTGACCTATGGTAAAAGACTTCCCCCAAAGTGTGAGTCTTGTATTTCTCTAGCAGAGTCAGCTGTTCTCTGGGTGAATCTGTTTATTCTGATGTGAAGTATTATTTTACATAAATGGCTGCAGATTCTAAAGGCATCTTCTCTAAAACATTATTCTGTTTGACTTCTATGTTTATCTCAATTGGTTCAGAAATGAGGACCAGATGAGGTGAGCTATTTACCAGGGACCTTTAACA